AAGAGAATACCATTAATCAATACCATTAACCCGAAATTCTTCTCCTTCCTCTATTCCTATGATCCGTAGATTTGGTCTTTTCATGGTGTCCCACATCTCTTGCATATTCCATTCCTTTGTTTTTTAAATTTTTCCATAATCATTGCTTGAGTGGTCAATTCTTCAACTTTATCCTCCAGTGCTGATATTCTGTTTTCCATTTCATTCATTCTAGAAGTAAGGCTTTCCCCTGTTGTTTCAAGTTGGCTTACTGAGTTTTGTACTTCCTTCTTCATTTCTGAGTTTTCTTCAATGTTTCTCTCTTTTGTGAATTCGTTCAGAAGTTTATCCCTATCTTCTTTTAGCTCTTTGATTTGTTCATGTGTTCTTTAAATTCGTTGAATTCCTTGATCATGTTTATGATTGTTCTTTTTTTTTTTTTTTTTTCTTTTTTGTTTTTTTGAAGCAGGGGCCCCCTGTAGCCCCAGCTGTCCTGGAACTCACTACGCAGACAAGACTGGCCTTGAACTCACAGAGATCTTCCTGCCTCTGCCTCCCAAGTGCTGGGACTACAGGCATGATTGTTCTTTTAAATTCAGTGTCCTGGGTTATCTCTAGGGGGCTTTCCTTATAGAACTCTTCTACAGAATCGGTGGAGCTTGGTGGGGACATAGTGTTTTGGCTTTCCATTTTATTATTCTTTCATTGTGGTTTTGATATGTGAATTTCTTTTGTTGTTTATGATTCTGATATGAGAATTAAGTTGAAGTATGCTTCTGTTTATATTATCTGGGTACCTAGATCCTTTATTGTTTATGTAAAGCTTGTTGGTACAGGGTTCAGGTTCTCTCAGGTTTAATTTGGAGGGAACTGATGGCTTCAGATCAGCTATTCAGGAGCACCCACAGAAGCCCAATTCAGATTCCAGTCAGGTACATTCAGGCTTCCTTTGCCATGTGGAGGCAGGATCAGGGGTTCTCAGGCAGTCCCCTGGCTTCTCAGGCCCTCTGCTAGATGGAGGCCAGAGGGAGGCCATAACTCGGCACTCTCCGGCAGTCTGCTGTGATATGAGACTGCTACACAGATGTAGGTCCAAACTCACCCTCTTAGGCTGTCTGCTAGGATCTCTGTTGAGCACTTTTTAAGGTGGCCATTTGTAGTTCTGCTTTGGAGCTGTTTCTGTTCCAATCTTTTGCCTCGTGTGAATTGGGTTGCTTGTTTTTCATTGTTAATTTTAGTTCCTCGTGTGTTCTGGATGTCAAGTGCTTGTCAGGATCATAGTGAGCAGGTATTTTCTCCCATTCTGTAAGTTTTCTCTTTCCTCTCCTGGCTTTCTTCACTCTGCTGAAGTTTGCAGTGTGATGATGCCCCGTCTCTCCATCACTGCTCTGTTCCCCGTGTTTTGAGTTTACAGCCAATGCATCAGTGTCTATACTGTCATCCTGAAGTGCTTCTCCCAGGTGTTCTTATCAAAGTTCAGTTTGGGTCTTACATTTAGGTCTTTGCACATTTTGAATTGATTTTTCTCCAGGGCAAAAGGCAAGAATCAAGTTTCAGTATTCTGGATACTCTCCAGTTCCCCAGCACCACTTATTAAAGAGGTTTTTCTTTCTCCAGCATGTGTTAGATGAGAATTGGTTAGCTACAAATATATTAGCGTATTCCTGCAATGTCTGTTCTGTTCTTTTGATCTGTTATGCCAGTACCATACTATTTGGGGGTACTATGGCTTTGTATTATATCTTAAAATCAGGCATTGTGATATCTTCAGGTGTGTATGCCTCTTGATTTGATGATGATGAACCCCCCTGATTTTTAGACTGAGGTTTTCTATTCAAAGCTGAAATTTTTATTCCCCTTCATTCTGTCACTGCAGTAATTTCAATATGAACATAGTCTACCAACCAAACCCAGCTTCACGCTTTGCTGTGCAAATCTACCCCATTCACCTTAAACGCTTCTAACAATTTCTGAGGGACTCACTGTCTACCCACAGCATACCTCTGAACACTGCCTTCCAGAATTCTAGACCATGTGCACAAAGTATACCACTCAAATTACTTTGGAGAGATGTGTCAGAAAATAATGATTTCCTTTCCTCTGTCTATGAATTTTCTTCTTAATCTTTATCTGTGTTACAAATATCCCGCTCCTCTGATCGCATTCAGTATGCCTCTCTGATGATGGCTTTTCTCTTCTTTCTTTAATGTCCATTCTAAAATTGTTTTCTGCTATTACTGCACATTTGAAACCAGATCATCCAGAACACAAAAGAAAGAAGAGAACTGAGGCTGTAATTTTTGTCCAG